CGTACTTCAGTAAAAATAGAGAACTGAAGCTTACTGTAATTGTCGTGAATTTCTTAGGGTCACCTAATGCCCAGTCCATGGCCACTTCTTCTCGATTGGCTCACGGAGCTTCCTCACAGCTGGTTTTTCAGGTTCGCATTCCAGCAGGCCCCAGTGTGGCATTTGCTTGCGTCTTCCCAGCCTCCTGATTTAGAATACTTCTCCTTCCTTCTTTAATCTCCTGCTGTTTATTTGTACAGAAACTTGGAACTCTGTCTGTTAGACTTTCCCACGTTCTGGACTGGGCTGCCAGTATGCTCACGGTTCTGGTGACCGTGTTCTCTGCTCCTGCCCGCGTGCCCTGGCGGGATGCAGCGGGTTTTCGGCCTGGTGTTGGGGACTGTCACAAAGGTGGGGACATCGCAGGACGTGCCCGGTGTCTAGCATTGTAGACATTGGTGTTCTGGACCCTTCTGTGGGCAGACCCCGCCCCCCGCCGTCCACCCTGCTGCCCAGAAGCAAGTTTCCAGTGCCGGTGACAAAATGGTGACTTTCTCATGCTGGTCTGCCTTCTTCATTGACTGTCTGGAGTCCTGATAGAGGGACTTGGCTTTCTGAAATTCTCGTTCCTGCAGAACCGTTCTATTAAGTTTCAGGTGGAATTGTACTCTGGCCATCAAGGGTACTGATGGGCTTTTGTTTCATGAGCTTATGGACCTTTGAGTACATCACATGCTTCAGTCTTTTGTGGACTTTTTTTTGTTTGGGGGGAGCAGAGAACCCTAGGCAGGCTCCACGTCCGGCACGGAGCCTAACACGGGGCTCAGTCTCACAACCCTGAGATCCTGACCTGAGCCAAAATCAAGAGTTGGACGCCCAAACTGATTGAGGCACTCCTGTGCCCTGACGTTGTTCTCTTTTGAGGTTCAAATTGTCTCGTCCTGGGCTAGCTCGTGTGTCCCTTTCTTGGGGCCTCCTCATTTTGACTGGTGTCCTTGCTCAGGCTCTGGTCCCTGTGTGACGTGGGCCGCTCCCATCTGGGAAGACTCGTGGTAGATGCTGAACTGATGATACTGGGTGGAGAGAAAATTACTGAAGCTAGATTTTAAAGAAGGGAAAGGGTAAAGTACAGATATTTCAGGCAGGGTGTGCAGCTCATCTCCCCAAGTGCCCCAGAGGGCCAGGTAGCCTCCCTTCCTTGTGAAAGTGGACTGACAAGCCTGTGTCCTGAGCCAGACTGTCTTTCCAGGCGGAAATGCACTGAAGAGGATGGTGACCAAGTGTGAAGGCAACAGTGACCCTGGGCAGGAGGGGACAGTGGATGTCAGGGAGGCGCCTGGACCGCACAGAGCTGGTGTGCGGGTGGCTGGGCCTGGAGCAGGGCACCCGATGCTATGGGCTTCTGCTGCTCCAGGAGCTGGGAAGAGGTGGCCGCTGGAAAGGAACCTGTATGTGTGGGGGCGGGGGGGGGGGCAGGAGGGCGGGTGGGTGCTGCTGGGAAGGGAGGCCGTGAGCACGGTGGGCCTGCCTGGTACAGAGCCCTCTGGGTGGGTCACTGTGCACACACTCTGCAGTCGGACCCCTCCTTTCCAAGCTGCACGGTGAGTGTGGCAGTCACATCTGGGTGCTGAGACGGGGCCTGTGGACCTGCTTCCAGGAGGGCATGGTTGACGTGAGGCTCTGAAGCAGGGCATTCGCCTCCAAGGGCGGGCTCACCTCTTCCAGCTTGCGAAATGCAGAAACCCGGAGAAGAATCCCTGCGTTCGCACCTGCTATGGCTCCTGTCTGGGTGCCGGATGTGGTGGGACCAGTGAGCAGGAGGTCAGTGGGAAAGTTGGAGATGTCCGGGAAGGGAGAGATTTAACTGCTTAAACATGCACACGCTCAGGCCCTGGTCCCTCCCACTGGGTATACTCGGGGAGCCACCCACCGTCCCAGAACCTGGGGAGGGGCCTGAGGGCGGCCCCGGTGCCCCCAGTTATACACCGGTCCCTGTTCCCCATGTGCACTTCAGCCTCCTGCACAGACGCCTTTATGTTGGGTCTGTGACCCCTTTACCCACCACTTCTCATCCTGACCACTACTGTTCTGAACCCGGGAAGGAAGGAGGCCCCTGGATTCCTGCCGTGCACAGGGGCATGGAGGGAGGGGCCGAGCAGAGCTCCCACCCGTGCAGGTGCTGCTGGCTGTGGCGCCCGCAGCGCGAGGAGCCTGGCCTGACTTTTCCTTTAACACACGGTCAGGACGCTGTCATGGGGCTGATGGGCTCCTTGGACGTGGGCGCCACAGGGAGGCCTGCCTGCCGCCTGCACCCGGGCTGCTGACTCACGCTCCTACCCTCCCCTCCCCCCACACCCAGTGTGCTCGCCGGCAGCTGCAGGGGCGTGGCTCCAGGCCCAGGGGGGATGACAAGGCGAGCGGGGCCCAGAGCACCTGCACATGACAGGAGGCTTATTTTTACACATTGTTGGCTGGAAATAATCGACTTTATTTAAAGAGAATGTGGATTCCAAGTGTTTAAAAAAGCACCTAGCAGTGTGCCTGGCTCCGTGGGGAGGAGGCTGCGGGTCCGCTCGGGGTGAGCCGGTTGGGTGCCTGCCTGGCTGCCCGCCCTGCAGGGCTGTGTGGCCAGAGCCCCTCTTGTGAGCGCCCAGCTCTGGGACAGCTCAGCTACTTCGACACAGCTCCACGGGCAGGTGGCCCCTTGAGTGTGGCCCTGTGGCGTCTCTGGCGGTGTGTGCTGCGTGTTATGGTTGAGGGGTCGTGTGGACCCCAGCTGATGAGGGCTCCGTGCTGGGGGTGGGACGCAGCCGCCCCGCCACTGTGAGAGGTCCCGTGGTTTATTTCTCGATTTCTGCCCACGTTGGCCTTTATTTTGTGTATATCTTATGTACGTGTTAACGTATTGTTGACGATTTTAAATAGTTAATACACACAGTTCAGAAGGCCGTGCAGTGAGGATGCGTCTCCCGGCTTCATCCTGGTCGGCTTTGCCGGAGCTGTTGTCTGCACATTCGAGCATGTCCATCTGATGTGAGCTTTCAAGCTGCAGTGGGTGCTAGAGCGGGTTGGGGGTGCAGGTGCCGTCTCCCCGGGCCCCGTTTGAGGTGTGGAGTTGCTAGCAGGCTGGTGTGGTCATGGGAGAGCTGCCCGTCGGGGGGCCGCAGGGCGGATTGCCACCTCCTGTCTTAAAAAGAGCTGTTTTCCTCTTGATCAAATGTCTGTATTGTGAGGAACTTGGGTAATGCCTAAAGGTACAGAGAAGAAAGGCAAACTGCTTGTTGCTCTTCCACCGGAGACCCCACAGAGACTTAACAGGCATGTCCATGGGCACGGACACACGTGTGTGTTCCTTCTTAGGGAGAGGGCCTGGGCCGCACTCAGCCGTACGCCGGATGTTTTGCTCCTGGTGCTGAGCAGCCTGTGCACGGGTGTGTGTTGTGGCCTCTGTGTCCAGCGTGCCTGGCCTTTGACCTTTCCTGTCTCTTCTACCCTGCTCTCTGCGGCGCTCTCCCGAGCTCCCTTCCAGACTCTGGGGAGGGTCCCCCTGGCCTCTTTCAGCTTCTGCGGAGGCAGACAGCCCTAACCCCTCGTGGCCCCGGCCGCACGGCCATGTTCACACCGTCGTCCCCCTGAGCGCATCTTTTTTGTCCTGGTGTCCCCTTGTGAAGGACACAGATTGGATCACGGCCCCCGATGACCTCATTTTAACTTGGAAGTAAGGCACATTCTGAGGTGGTGGAAGTTAGGATGACATAGGATTTTGGGGGTCACACTTCAGCCCCTAACGGTAGCCACTTGGCAGCCCCGACGGCTGGGCTGTGATGGATGCCAGCCTCACGTCTAAGGCGCGTGAAGCATGTGCACAGGAGGTAAACACATTCTCGTCCCAGTGCTTCAGCCAATAAAAATGCCTCCCCGTGGACCAGCACCTGGCAGAGGTGAGGGGCTGATGGCCTGCATGCGCTCCGAGCCTTTTCCACGTATCTTCACGTGCACTGAGGAAGACCTGCATGATGCCGTGTCCCCCACGGGGTGTCCGCTGGGCTTCCTTCCGGAGGGCTGGAGAAGGTGGCTGAGCTGCACCTCCATGACTGGGCTTTTGTCTTTACTTTAGGTGTTAAACTCACCGTAGTGGGTTTGTGAGTCCAAACTTTTATGAAGCTATTTTTGCTGTTATTAGCACCGTTCCATTTAACAGCAAACGTTTTCTCGTGTTTTGTTTGTGCCTTCCGCTGCGTGGCCAGGCGTGTCTGCATCTGTGCTAGGTTGGCCCTGCAGGGACAGGCGGTGTGGCTGGTGGGTTTTCCAGGCAGCCTGTGCTTTGGTGTGTTGCCCTCACTGTGCGCTCTTTACCAGGAGAAAGCCAAGGCTGTGGAGGGTTAGGGTGGAAGCCAAGCAGCTGTGGGCTGAAGTTGTTCTGCTGTTTTGTGGAGCTAGGCCCTGCCGAGCAGGTGGTAAGAAAGCAGGAGCCCTGGGACTTCATTACTGCCACCCTTTGGTTGAGTGATGGGCCTGGTCTGTGAGCTTCAGGAAGCCCGGCAGCAGGCCCGCTGTGTTGTGGAGCTGGGCTGTGGACGCTGTCCCCAACCCGTGGGTGGCGCCCTCAGGGGCTTCTCTGCAGTGGCCTTCCATCCCCGTGGTTTCCTAGGAGGCCTGAGTAGGAGGGTCAGGAAGTGTGAGACTCAGCTTCTCAGATGCTGGAGATGTGTGGGCGTGGGTATGTGGTCAGGGCCTGGGCGTGTGGTGGGGTCTGCTGGTGTGCGGTGGGGGCCGGGCGTGCGGTGGGGCCTGGGTCTGTGGTGGAAGGCCGGGCATGCAGTGGGGGGGGGGCCGTGGTGTGCGGTGAGGCCTGGGCGTGTGGTGGTGGGGGGCCATGGCGTGTGGTGGGGGCCTGGGTGTGCGGTGGGGGCCTGGGTGTGCAGTGGGGCCTGGCTGTGCGGTGGGGGCCGGGCGTGCGGTGGGGCCGTGGCGCTCCTGCGTATGGGCCCGGGTGCATCTCACCTGTTGCTCTTCCCCAGGAGGCAGGAGCAGTTCCAGAGAAACCCCGACAGCTACAACGGTGCCGTGCGTGAGAACTACACCTGGTCGCAGGACTACACCGACCTGGAGCTCAAGGTGCCGGTACCCAAGCACGTGGTGAAGGGCAGGCAGGTAACCGCGGGGCGCCTCCAGCTTCTCTGCTCGGCTTCTGTCTTTGGGCACAGGTATCAGGGGCAGCTGTGCCGGAGCCAGGCCGGCCTGTCTTCCAGACGTGCCCTCCCCCAGCCTTGCTGTGCTGCGCGGACACACCTGGGGGCTGGTGGTTCATTCCACTGTTGTCCTGTGGGTCATTGCTCAGCGTCTTCATGGAAATCGCCACAAAGGAGGTAGGGTGGTCGATATGCTCGTTTCACAGATGGAGAAGGTGGTGTCCCGAGCAGGGACCCCTGGGCTCTGCAGTGGCATGTGGACGCCTGGTCCTGTGCTCTGCGGGGCTCCCCCAACGGAGCAGGGGCCACGTCAGGTGGGAACAGTGGCGCTCACAGCTCCACTTGGTCTCTCCACCTCCGTGAGCGTGAGTAGAAATTTAATCCTTCAGTGGGAGAGAGATGTTTACTTTTTCTAAGTAGGTAGGCTTCACTTTAAAGGAAAAAGCCCCATGTGGTTTGTGAAACTTATAATCCCTTCAATGTAAAGAATCCTGGTACTTGCGGAGAAAGCACGTTCTCCTCGCATCAGCCTTCACAGGAGCCTGCAAAGCAAGCTGCACCTTCCATGTCCGTAGGCGGGAAAGTGAAGCCGAGGGGTCGCTCAGCCTCCCGAGCTGACACAGGGAGCTCACCGTGTCCCCCACTCTTGCCGTGCCTGGACACTGAGCGCGCTCGGAGTGTGTCTGGGTGGCGATGGGTGGGTGAGGCCGTGGTTGGCGCAGGGGTGTTAGCTCCTGAAGCTCAGGCTGCTTTCCCACTAGTCAGAGACCAGCACTGCTGGCTTCTTTCCAAGAGCAGGTCCCACAGTGCGTAAAATGGAGCTCGTCTGTGAGTTCTTGTACATTTTCTGGAAACGGCCGCCACGTGAAGTGGCACCGGCTCCTGCTGGTCTGGATATGTGTGAGCCAGAGCCAGGCTGGGCGGTGAGTGAGCCCCTCTGGGCCCCCCCATCTCGAGGTGCTGACCCCAGACTGCCCACGCTCTGCCTGGAACAGGCCCGCCTTGTGCGTCGATGAAGGCGGCCCGTTCTGCCGCGCGGGCTTTGTAGCTCTGTGTCTGGTGTGTGGCTGGCTGTCATGACACCGTCCACACGTTTCCCCCTTTACTTTCCCACCCTGTCTGAGGAGATCTCACCAGTGTCCGTGACCCCTGGTCAGGTGGACTTTGGGATCCAAGGCAAGACCTGGTGACTAGGGGTCATCCCCCCGGGATCTGGCTCCAGTGACCATGTCCCCTCTGGTGCTGGTAGGGTCATGGCCGGCTGGTGCGGGCTGACCTTCCTGGGGGAGTACTTTGCCCGGCATCTTCTGGGTTTTTATGGGGCAGATGTTGATTTAGGGCTTGTTTTTTTGGTGGGATTGCTTTGTGCGTAGGTGAAGGAGTTATGAAAAGTGTTGGCTGTGGACTTTGCTGGTCTGCTGTCTGCCTTCTAACTTGTCCGTGAACTTCTGGAGCTTTCTCCAAAAGGACTTGTGTCCGACCCAGCCCGAAACTAGTAATTTTCTCTTTGACTCTGGAGACCCAGGTGACCTGGCCTCTCCCGCTGTCCTTTCCACCCGGGAGGCGGACACGCTGGTGATGTCAGTGTGTCTTCTGACTCTGCTCTGCCACGAGCACTGTATCGTGGGGTCCTGCTGCCCTTCATCACATCGCCGAAGGGACAGGCCATCGTACCTGGGGGTCAGATCCACACTTCTCTCAAGTGCAGGTGTCCTGGCCTCTGGGAGGATACGCCCTTGCTTTCGCCCTTGCTTTCACCCAGTGCAGCCCTGGGTTTTGCTTGTTTTTGCATGAGACATTTACTGGGCACATGATGGTCCCCAGGACTTGGCCGGGATTGCTGCTCTGGGGCTGACGCCCATGGGTCTCAGGCAGTGACCGTCGGCACCGGTAGGGCTGCTCCGGGGAGTGGTGGGTGGCGTGCGGTGCATCAGCTGGTGGTCTGTTTGCTCGGGCCCTGCCCGGCCCCCTTCTTTCCAGCCCTCTGAGGCACCTGTGGCTCACACTGGAGGCTGTGGTGGAGAGTGACTTGTCCAGGGTCTCCCAGGCTGGCGTGCTCTGGGGCCAGCGCTCCCGGCACGCAGAGGTGTGCACGCGAGCCCGGGTGTTTTCGGCGCCGCGCTGGAGGAACCGTGTTCCGCGTGACACCTGCCGACTGCATCTCTGCCAGTCTGGCCTCATCGCCGACGTGAGGGAAGCCTCCTCCTCCTTCAGTGGTGTCCTTTGTCCAGGTTACTGTGTTGTTTGGTCTCTTTAGCGGAGGTACAGGTGACGTACTAGTTTCAGGTGCACAGCCTGGCGATTTGATCCCCGTGTCTGCGGGAAGTCTGGTTAACACCTGTCACTGCACGTAGTAACGGAGTTGTTTGTCTTGGGACATGAACTCTTGGGATTTAGTCTCTTAGCAACTTCCACATTCCCTGTTATTCCCACACTGCAGCCTTCTAAAATTTTGTGGTCTCTCATTTTTTTAGTGATCTAAGCATTTTAGCCATGACTCACTTAAAACTTCGGAATAGGTTTATTTTGTGTGTCTTGGCTTTTGCCGGTCTAAGCGTTTTTTCTCAGAGTTGCCACATTCTTTGTGGACTGGCCCCCTTCCAGCTCTTCTCTGAGGTGCCTGAGGTGCCTGTCCCAGCTACCCGTCAGCAGTGTTGATTTTTGGGATTTGTCTGTGGCACCTGTCAGATGTCATCGTGATGGTAGCTGCGGTCGCAGCAGCATGGTGACAAAGTCACAGATTGGGGGGGGGTGCGGGGGGCGGGGCTGCGTGCTGACACAGGGCCCCTGCGCCCCCGCTTCTCCAGCAGCAGAGCATCGCCTCTGGGGCCGATTTTCCTAGAAGCGGACTTGCCCCTTGGGTGTCGAGGAGGACAGGAAAGAGCATGTGCGCAATGCTTCACACAGCCTTTTTGCTGTTTATCATTCTGCTGGAGAATCTGAGGAAACACTTGCCAGGGAAGCTTTCGTCTCCTGCATGAGGGAAACGTGGTCAGCTCTTTGCTCCGTCCACTCTGCTGAGGAAGGCAGCCAGGTTCCCCTTCCTGTCCTCAGTGCGGGCACCGAGCGGTGCGCTCACCACAGAGGTGTTGGCGCGATCCCCAGTGTCACCTGGGGCTGGTTGGGAACCTGGCATTTCACTGAACCCTAGCATTTTAATGCTGGGACTTTGAACTGAGAGATTTGGAGTCTAAACCTGTTGTTTTGCTGATGCCGAGGCCGCAGACTGTCTGGTAAAACGGTGGCGGAGTGGAGACCCAGGACCTGGCCGCGTTAGCTCGTTGGCCTTTTGGGTGGACAGTGTCATGATGTTGCTGCAAAGTCATGGCCGAGTACATTGGACGACAAGCAGATTTCTCTCCTCCTTGGTATGCTGCTTCCTGCTGGAGTTGTGGGTGGTCTGTGCCAACCTGCTGGCTGGTGGGCTCACAGCCGTGCCTCACGCCGCCTGTGTCTTCACCACAGGAACCTTCCAGAACAGCACCAAGGCTTCTGAGCATGTCTGGTACAGCAGTGCTTTGCCCTTGAGCTTGATGCAGCTGATGGAGTTTGTCTGAAAACTCTGTACCACAGGGTTCCCTTCTTAGAAGGTGTTTAGAACGAATGTCGGCCCGAGCTTTAGAGAGGCAGCTTCTGTAACAGGAGGTTCATAGGCCCCATGTCTGCTTCGTACAGTGTTTGAACGCTCAGGACGTTTGTCTCTTCAGGACTGTGAACACTGATGGCAGGAAGTGTCTCTCCTGCGTCTGCCCTCTCGTCCTCTCCCAGCCCCCGCCCTGCCCCCAGCATCACGTACTAGCTGCCGGGACATTCTGGCAGATAGACGCGTTTGTGATCAAGTATGAGCATGTACCGTCACACCCCCCCCTCAGCACGATGACACGTTCGCGCACCTGTTCCCAGTGTTGGCCGCACCGGGGCAGCTCTGGTCTCTGGCACTGGCTGCCATGTCCCCCGTGACCCAAGCGTGTCTGCTCAGGCTGCCAGAAACCCAAACATGCAGGTGCCCTGAACCCCATGGCCCCTCACACCCAGGGCTCCCATCTGCCTTTGTCCCTTCAGGCAGCAAGCTGGTTACTAAACGAGTCTCCTGCTAATTGGAACTGAGGTTGTTTCCAGTCTTCTGCTGGAAATAGACAATAAAACAATAATGCCCTTTAATAAACTTTATCTTGGGGAGCTGCTGCGTGGCTCAGTTAAGTGTCTGACTTTGGTTTCAACTCAGGTCGTGATCTCAGAGTTGTGGGATTGAGCCCTGGGTCGGGCTCTGCACTCAGTGGGGAGTCTGCTTGAGATTCTTTCTCCCCCTCTCGCTGCCCCCCCCACCTCACACACGCGCGATTTTTTGCACTCTCTCTCTAAATGAAATCTTTTTATTTGTTTTTTGTTTTTTTTTTTAAGATTTTATTTACTGGGGCACCTGCATGGCTCAGATGGTTGGGCGTCTGCCTTCAGCTCGTGCCATGATCCCACCCTGGGATCGAGCCCCACGTTGGGCTCCCTGCTCAGTGGGGAGCCTGCTTCTCCCTCTCCCTCTGCCTCTCCCCCTGCTAATGCTCTCTCTCTCTCTGTGTCTCAAATGAACAAATAAAGTCTTAAAAAAAAAGAAAGATTTTATTTATGTGAGAGAGCACAAGTTGGGTGAGGGGCAGAGAGAGAAGTAGGCTCCCCACTGAACAGGGAGCCCAATGCAGGACTTGATCCCAGGACCCCAGGATCTTGACCTGAGCCGAAGGCGGACGCTTCACCGACTGAGCCACCCAGGTGCCCCATAAATAAATCTTTAAAAAAAAAATAGATCTATTCAAGTCCTTTAACTTTTTAAACATTGGAGGTTCTTTTATTGTTGAATTTTAAGAGTTCTTTTTAAGTGTAGATACTGTACTCTTGTCAGATAATTTGCAGGTATTTTCTCCTCCATGAACTGTCTTTTTGCTTTTTTTTTTTTAAGGATTTTATTTA